AAAAAAAAAAAAAAAAAAATTAACTCTGCTGAGGCACACTTTATGTACAATAAACTGCAACCATTTAAAGTGCACAATTCAATGAATTTTGAATTGAAACCAGTGAAATGGACACCACAATCAAGACACTTTGATTATTACCAAACGATTCTTAGTGCTTTTTACACCCAACTCTCCCTTCACCCGGCTTTAGGCAACTACTAATCTAAGCTGTATGCCATTACACATTAGTTTGGATTTTCTTAAATATCATACAAATAGTATTATGCTTTTTAAGTTTCTTTCATTCAGTATAAGGATTTTGAGAATCATCCAAGTTGTCGGTACATCCATAGTTCATTCCTTTTGTTTTTGTCCATTGTGTGCCACACTTTATTTATCCATTCACCTGTTGATGGTTATTTGGGTTATTTTTAGTTCGGGGTTCTTGTAAGTCAAGAAATCACGAACTTTTCCACATGTCTGTGTGTGAATATATGTTTTCAATTCTCTTGGCTCCCTATAGGATTTTAAGTGAAGTATGATTACAATCATATGGAGAAAAATAAACCTTGTGACAGAGTGAAGAATAAACTACAAAAGTATAGAATGAAAAAGAATATAGTCTTACAGAATTGAAGAATGTAGATGAGGACAAATTCAATTTTAAAAATAATTTAAATTCAATGAAAAAACAATGCAAATGCAAAATTAATAGAACTTAGGAACCCAACTGGACAAAGGCAAGAAGCATATATAAAGGATGAAACAAATGATTCTAGTTTAAGTGTCTACTAACTGAGAAAGAAAATATATACATGTTTTAAAAGAAAATACTGATTTATTTAGCTTTGCTTATGTTGTATTCAATTTGTTCGGTAAGTATCTGTCTTAGTGTGGCTCATACTGCCATAATAAAATACCACAGACTGGGTTGCTTATCAAACTGAAATTTATTTTTTCAGAGTTATAGAGACAAAGTCCAAGTTCAAGGTGCCAGCATGAAATGCTCAGATTTTCTTGAGGGCTCTCTTCCTCCTTCGTAGATGGCTGCCTTCTTTCTATATTTTCACATTGGGCAAGGTTGAGAGGGGATGAG